GTATATAACAGTGTTTGTAAATATAATATAGTACGTGAATGAGTAATAGTATTTGCGTACATAATAGTACGAGAGTATATAACAGTGTTTGTAAATATAATATAGTACGTGAATGAGTAATAGTATTTGTGTACATAATAGTACGAGAGTATATAACAGTGTTTGTAAATATAATATAGTACGTGAATGAGTAATAGTATTTGTGTACATAATAGTACGAGAGTATATAACAGTGTTTGTAAATATAATATAGTACGTGAATGAGTAATAGTAATTGTGTACATAATAGTACGAGAGTATATAACAGTGTTTGTAAATATAATATAGTACGTGAATGAGTAATAGTATTTGCGTACATAATAGTACGAGAGTATATAACAGTGTTTGTAAATATAATATAGTACGTCAATGAGTAATAGTATTTGTGTACATAATAGTACGAGAGTATATAACAGTGTTTGTAAATATAATATAGTACGTGAATGAGTAATAGTATTTGTGTACATAATAGTACGAGAGTATATAACAGTGTTTGTAAATATAATATAGTACGTGAATGAGTAATAGTATTTGTGTACATAATAGTACGAGAGTATATAACAGTGTTTGTAAATATAATATAGTACGTGAATGAGTAATAGTATTTGTGTACATAATAGTACGAGAGTATATAACAGTGTTTGTAAATATAATATAGTACGTGAATGAGTAATAGTATTTGCGTACATAATAGTACGAGCGTATATAACAGTGTTTGTAAATATAATATAGTACGTCAATGAGTAATAGTATTTGTGTACATAATAGTACGAGAGTATATAACAGTGTTTGTAAATATAATAGTACGAGAATGAGTAATAGTATTAAAAGTCCATTTGTTCATTTGTTTAATATGTGTTGAGGAAAAAAAATGTACTTTACAAACCCTACACATTTAAATTTTGTATAGCAATCTATTTTGAAACAGGAAATATAGGCTTGAAATAGACCATAACATTCACTATATTTCTCAATCCAAACATTTGTCATTACCTGCATTTTATTATATGAACTCCTTTTTCTATAAAAATGTAAATGTACAACTAAATAAATATTGAAAATATAGTATAAATACCAATTATACTGATTGCAGAAGTATGATCCACGAAAGGTTTTGGAATGATTGAAATTAAACACTCTGGTATGTTGATGAATTTTTGGATTTTCATTGAACTGATTTTAAGAATGTTTATTGCAATCATGTACAATGTATATTCCTGTTATATGGACACTTAGTAGTTAAGAAACATTTTAAGTTTACTCTATAATAAAGCGTTTATATTTCACAATTATAAATTAAATTGAGTAAAATAGTTCCTAAAATGTGGGCGCCATCTTTAGCCCTTTACTGTTGTATTAAGTCTAAGCCTTAACAGTTAGAAAACATTTCAAGTTTACTTACCAACAAAGCGTTTATTTTCGATAATCATAAACAGAATTGTGTAAACAAGTAATTCCTGAAGTGTAGAGGTCTTCTTAAAATAACAAAACAATATTGCACTTAACTATATTCGAAACGGAATCACATAAACGTCATGACACAATATTTAACGCTTTATTAAAACATTAATTAATTAATTAAGTGTCCAGGGATCGTTAAGAGTTTGTAAACGAATAATGTGCTTTATGCATTAATATTTAACTTTTTTTCTTTAGTTTCATTTAATTTAATAAATTACTGGAAAAATTTGTATGTTTGTAAAAATTTTAAGTAACAACTTGACTGCCTGTTAATACCGACTTTGACAGTCATGTTCACCAACTCTAGACTATGATCAACAACTTAATGAGTGATACCAACTTAATTTTAAACTTAGTGTCTTGGACAGGGCTTCTTAAACTTTGGGTCGAGTAGGAAAATTCTGGGGCCGCGAGATATTTTAATATCCAAAATTTATATATGAATATATATCATGTCTATATATTTTTATGAGTTTATGATGTGCTTATGTATATGCATAGGTAAAAGAGGAGTATATTGTGTATACGTATACTGTTACTAAATAAACTAAGTTGTGGCATCGTGCCTTAATATGGTTCTTAATTATTTCCAAATTTTTATAAACTGGCGTTATAATTAATTATGTAAAGGCATACCATTTGTTGTATTTAAATGTCTTCTCAGAAATATATATTAAACAGAAAAACAAAGATGATGAATAGAAGATCGAGTAAGTTTTGCAACATTTTATATACTATTATATATAATAGTTTTAGGAAGTTTAATTTTATTCATATGAAAACTTAAATATCGAACTACAATTCCGATGAATTTGTCAATTCATGTGATAATAGATTAGAATAAAATGATAAATCAAAATAGTAATGTCAGTATATTAAACTCCAGTTGTAGTTGCATAAAACATCAATATTTTTTAATGAAATGAGTTAAAAATATTGAGAAATGCATATAGTTTTTGTAAGAAACACAATTCTGTACAAAAGTACCTTTTGCTCAATGTAGTTGAATCACATCAAATGAATGAATTCACTATAAGTGATACTGTAGATAAATTCTTTATTAATTTATACTTACAATTCCTTTTATGTTTGTGTTTCGAATAGTATGCATACAAGTTTCTACTATTACAATACTTTTAGAATGAATTGAGTTTAAAAATAATAAGAACATTATAATATATATGTTTCAAAAACAAGTATTTAATTATTAACAATAATTTCACAGAATTTTTATTTTATAGTGTTGTGGATTATTTCACTGTTGCAAGTATACATACTTTGGAGAATAATAATTGTTCGGGATGGTAACAGGATTGTCCCTGTACTTCAGAGATAAAAAGACAAGTTCTGATACATATATTAATAGAAGTATGCAAGTATAATTAATGCTGATTTCCAAATGCTGAAATCTTTAAAAATATAAATATAGGTAACTATAATTTTGTGCTTATACTGCAAAATAAGAATGAATAATTATATTATATACATTTATACAATCTTGTGGAGACGTGAACATTTTTCATCACATGCAGATGAAAGACCCGATAGTAATACCATATATTTTTCCTTATGATACCTACAAATACAATAGATAAACCACAAAACTAAGAAAGGAAAATAGATGTAACTTCATAAACAAAAAGCAAATGTAAAATATTTAATATTTTACTTCATTAACATTATAAAAATAAATATATTCTTTAAATATTTAATATTTAAAATAGTATAATTACAAGCATTTAAGTAATTTGATACTGAATGATCTGAATTAATACAATTTTTTATAATAATAAAGTAATTTTTGAGAACTTTACCGCCAAAAATAAGAATGGTTTGACTATTACTTTCATATGACTTCTTTATATGATATAGTTTATTATATTAATTAATTTTGCTAGTAATATAAGATATCATTATTCATTTTTACAACCAAAATATTTCCAGTATAGGAAATTCCAAGAATCCAGAACGATGTGTCCATTCAGATTTTTCATGTCTGCAATGAATCATGCTGTGCATTTTCTGAGCTTAGAACTTACGATGGATTGCTTCCAATGCAGACTATAGGAGTACCTTTAACTGGAACTAACCTACAAAGCACAATTAAGGAAGATGAAATATCTGAGCATGATCATTATAATCACAGATAAGGAAATTAAGATATAAAATAAGTTTTAAATCCATTTTAATTATAGTTTGATAAATATACTTTAAGGCAAATTAAAGTTGTCTGTGCCAGCAATCTTAGTATTAATACAATTTATTATTTTATTATTAGAAGTCATTTTTTTCATTATAGGAGTTTGCAAGTTTTTTACCCTGAACATCAGGCTTGTTTATCTATTATCCTGAGTATCTTTTAAGTCAATCCTTGCAGTGGACCACTTCCAACGCAGACTTTAGGAGTACCTTTAACTTGACATTGTACAGTTTCACACCTGTTGATAAAATAGATTTGGAACAATCTGTTGACATATATATATATATATATATATATATATATATATATATATATATATATATATATATATATCATACATACATATAAATATCTGAGCAAGTTGCCTTTGTATCTTTGAGAAGAAGTGAAACGACAGTGTAAATGTTTAAAGACTAGATTTAATTACATATGATATTCTTTATATTATCTTTTTATCAAATCAAGTCAAGTATTTCACGTAAATGATCTTTATAGAATTATGTGTAATGCAATGCAATATATGTCCATTAATTTATTTAGATTTAAAATGTAATTGATGATGAAGTAATCCAGTTGATATTTATTAATTCAGTTAGTAATAATTATGTTCGGGCAATTAAAATTGTATTTGAGTCTTTGATAACTGTATAAATTATTATTATATTATAAAAGCTTATTGCATATAATTTATATTTTCAGCTCGTTTTAAGTATAAAATTGAAATCAAATATTTATTAATGAGCTAAAATAATTTTATGAACAATTTTAATTGGAAAAAAAATATTTTCAAGCAAATTTATTCACTTTGAACAATATACTTTATATAACAATACTTCATACTGTTTGCAGATTAAATTTTCTGTTTGAATTTCGCGCTTTAAATTGTACAAGATTGGGCAGCGATCATTTGGCTAAATCAATTGCTTCAAATGTCAAGAGATTTTTGTGAATGAACTTAATCTCGCGTTAATTAAGAGTTTTTAATTAAATCCTTGATTAGTTTTAATTAAATTATGCATAAAATCGTTTAATTAAATCTGTAGAATATTAAATGTTTTGAGGAATTTAAATATTCCCGACATGTATAAAATATTTAAAGCAGTTCAAAATTCGCTCCTGTGAACTAATTACTTGACAGTTTAAGAAGAAATGGCGGAGTATGACAGTTCATCAGCACACCCTCTTGTGCTTGAAGTTAGCATTTTTGTAAGTGTGTTGGCAACTCTGATATCTGTGATCATTAAAGTTAAGTGGAATTTTCTGACAGTTTTTGCCTTCTGTTCTATTTGCTAGGTGAGTTAAAATATAAAAATACTAGATTTATAAGTGCTTTTTAATACTCTCGTGATCCATTTTAATAATTCTTCGTACTAATGCAATACACAAGTCATTTTTGCATTGAAAAAATTACGTAATTTAACGAATATCGAAATTAGGTAAATGTTAGTCCTAGAGGCTGATGAAAGCATTTAATTGTGTACATTCATATTTATACTACTCAATACTTTTTATATAGCATCGTCTAATACAGTCGACATCGAATTCTTAACATGACACAATAGGTTATGTATCATTACATAATATTACAATACCGTGTTTCTGTTCGTCCAGGCATAATGGCAGGTCGTACTTTGGCATTGCAAACCCTCGTACGCCAATCATCAAGATGCTACTCTCAAGTTGCCCCCACAGTCCACGGTAAACGAGAAGTTGTGGGCTATGGATTCAATGGAAACCCTGTCTACGTAGACCGTGTAGATTTCCCAATGCCTGCCATCAGGTGGAAGGAAACCACTCCTGAAATTGCTGCTTTAAGAGAAAAAGAGAAGGGAGATTGGAAAAAACTCACAATTGTAAGATTTATAAGATCTTTGTGACGATTTGTACTTTTAAAACCTTCAGATCCTACATTCGTTCCTACCAAACTACTTACCAACTTATTTTGTTAACAATAGATAGAAGAATTCATCTCAAATCGGGATAGTTTATTTTTTGTTATTAAGACATTGGTAGTTCTTGAAGTTTTGTTTCCAGTTTGTTAGTAAAACATGTGATTTTCTTCCGCCAGGAAGAGAAAAAAGCTTTATACCGTGCCAGTTTCTGTCGCACCTTTGCTGAAATGAATGCTCCCACTGGTGAGTGGAAATTCTGTATTGGAATGGCATTGATTGGTGTTTCTATAGCATTATGGGCTTACTTGGGTGTTAAGCATTTTGGTGAGTTTTGCATTATATTGTTATTAACCTAAAAGTGCCGCCTTTACTATGTTTTTCTTGTATTCTTAGTTTATGCTCCATTGCCCGAGTCATTCTCTGAAGAGAGCAAGAAAGCCCAACTTAAACGTATGCTTGATTTAGAAGTAAATCCAGTTACTGGGCTTTCGTCTAAATGGGATTATGAGAATAAGAAATGGAAGTGAGCTATTTTAATATTTTTCAATAGTAGGCTAATGTGCTGATGTAAAATACTTGCATCAAATGTGTAGCAACAATTTTATTAGAAGATGAATTTTGTCTTCAATGTGTAAACATATAAAGAACATCAATATGAATAAATAAATGTAACGAAATGAACTTTTTTTTATTTAAGTATGGATTCTCCTCACAAGAAATTAAAACATTTTTGATCAATTTCTACTTTATTATTCAGATTTACAATGAATATCTATTAATGATGGAATAGATGAGAAAGGATACAATTTGTTTTAAGGCAATGTTTGAGATTTTTCCATGAATAGTACAAAGGTGACATTCTGCTTGAAAGTTTGGAAGAACAATTCTTTTTAATGTGCTAAAATTGAATACAGTATGTCAGACTATTTTGATGATTAATCAATATCTTATGAAGCTACTTTAAATAGATTCATTTTAACAATTCAAGATTTTACAAATCTTAAATTTTAAATCGCCATTATGGTTATTATAGATGGTCAATTGTGAAATTTTAAAGTAGTATTTACAATATAAAAAATAATCTTAACTTGATTAAAAAAACATCTAGAAATTTTACAGTTATGATTCTACATATTTTAGAATTGTACTGAAATGGGGTAATGGTTACCACTAGATTTTATTTACATATTTACAAAGTTATTTCTTATCAGCAATTTTACATAATAGTTTTAAAAGTGATGAGCGCATTATATTTGTAGTGAAAGTGAATGTACAATAAAATTTACATGCGAATATAAATAATACTTAACAAATTTATTGCTCAAGATTAAAACTATAAGCCTTAAAATGTCTAAAGCTTAGTAAGGTACTAGAGGTATATTTTTAGATTTAGTAACATTTATAATAGATAAATTTGTGCTTAATTTGCAAGCCACTACGCATACTTTAATTAAATGATTGAATTTCAATTAAAAATACACAAAATATATTTAAAATCTATTTATGACTACTTATTTTAAGAACTAACGAGTGAATTATGTTGGACCCTTAATTTATTTATATACAATTTATAAACGATTTTTTTAAAAGTATTTTATTATGTAAGTCTACTTATTAAATCTTTCTAAAAAAATCAAGTTAATGTAATTGACCTTGGTTAAAGATAAATGGAAAGCATAGTCGCAGCGCATTTTGAAATTTTAAATGAAATACATGAAAATATTTTTATATAAATAGAAGAAAATTCTACTTTATTTATATAACTTCGTCAAGTATTTTTATTTATTAGATTTTAATTTAATTAGTCTTATCTAATTGAGCCGATTGTTGTTCTTAATTTATAATCATCTAATTGATTGGCTAGTGAAACTATTAAATTTTATTAGTTTATAATCATTGATAATTATTTACTTAATTTAAAAAAATGTTCTATTTTTACAACTACGCAATAATGCATTTACATCGTTAATTTTCATAACCAAGCACTTTAAAAAAGTTAAATAGATATATTCTTTTGGCCTTGGTTATCGACTAACGGTACTTTTATTATTGAAAATCGGATGGATTTTGTGTGGAATAAATATTCAATTCAGTATCTGTTCTATTGTGCAAGTGTTAACGTCAAAATCAGTGCAAGGAATTAAAAATTAAGCAATAAAATATTATTATGTAAACATGGTGCCACAAGGTATAAATTATAGGTATGTACATTTATTATTAAAATTAGTGTACTATTTCTGCTTACATATAAATTAAATGATCATTAAAATATTTTAGGACTTAAACAAAGTGAAGATTTGTACTTCGAGATTCCGATCTTCACATATTGCGAATTAACAAAGTATACAAAAAATATTTCAGAAGAATATACATATACGTCGCACTTATACTATATATAATTTTTATATACATTTTTATAGTTAAATATAAGAAATATCTAGACGAATTCATAATCTTCATGATGATATTTATTCACCTATACTTCCACCATTTCTTAAACCAGCTTTTGCTTCTGGTGGAATTTGCTTTCTGAAGCAATCTTCTAGAAAAGTAGCCATCGACCGGTACAAATGTTTTTTTACGCCTCCCAAAGTGTGACCTTCATCTGGATACACCTGGATAATAAAAATATTTTTTTTTTCTTATTTTTGGCATCAATTAGAAATTAGAACTTAACAGTTCTATTACACTGTTGCGATGAAACTTTGTTAATAACTCTTGAGGTATCTTGAGGTTACAGGCCAACGCTCTTAGCACTGAGCCACGGAGAAGCTCAACATCGAATTTTATAATTATTTTTCATTAAAAGGATTATTTTGTACCTGTTGCCTAAACATGGCGCCTCTTTCGGCCAGGGCTCTTGCCAGCAGCATGCTCTGCTGAAAATGGACGTTGTCATCAGCAGTTCCATGAACCAAAAGAAAATATTTATCTCGTAAAGAATCAGCATGTCTGCGCAATTCAGAATCCTCATAGCCTTTGTAGTTTGCAGTAACATTCGGCATGCCCATGTATCGTTCGGTGTACGTCGAATCTTAATTATTTTAATAACAAACCGTTAGGTAACAAATTTTTTGTATATACCAATATGTATGTTTTTAAGACAAAATTCATTTACCGTACAATCTCCATGAAGTTACCGGTGCGACTGATACACCGCATTGGAAAAGTTCAAGTGGACTTGCTAATGCTAGGGCTCCGACATAGCCCCCATAGCTCCAGCCCCAAACACCCACTCTTCTTTTATCAACAAAGTGCAACGTATCTCGCAGATACCTTCAAAATTAATACTCACATGTTTTATATTGGTTTAAAATTTTATTTCATTGGTACTTACTCTGTAACTTCTAACTGATCAGCAACTTCCACACTGCCAAGTCTGTGATAGACTTCATGCATTAGTTTATAACCTTGTCCAGAAGAACCTCTACCATCAATTTGGGCAACGATGTAGTCTTTGGTTCCTGATAAATACGTATTCCAATCTACGTGCCATCTATCAGTCACCAATTGGGTACCCGGACCACTATATCTGCACAGTAATAAACGACATTTTAACAACTTCTTTATTGAAGCAAAATTAATAGTTTTTGTGAAATTCATCTTACACGTGTACGACCAAGGGATATCTAGTAATTTCATCTTCTCTTAAACCAGGAGGCAGATGTAACCTCACGTGGGCATGATAGCCTCCTGAAATTTGGACTGGAAATGTGCGGACTTGTGGTAAAGCGACTACTGATATGCGTTCCTATAAATAAAATATAATAATAATATTTTATCCAATAAGGTTTGAACTGAGATTTGTAGTACCTTTAGCAGTGTATTGTTTTGCATGTGCATGACTAATTTTAGTTTTGAATCCAATGGCATTGCTTTAAATAGGCCAACTGTTGGAATTCCTGGACCTAGACATTCTAGTACTAGGTAGCTTCCAGGACTGAACTCGGCATTGTAATATTGGCAAATTGGCGGCGTTTTTGGTTGTTCTAAAAAGATAATTAATCATAACAGGATAATAAATCTACTTCTACATAACGAGTAAACTCGACATGAAGAACTAGTTATTATCCAATCATTATTACTTATTTATACAATTTTTGGTTCAAATTTCTAACCTTTCTTCTTTTTTCTTCTCTTTGTAGGTGGAGTAGGAGCCACAGTTGTCGCCTGTCCAGCGGCGTCCCAATCGTCATCCCAATCATGAGCATGTCGATGTGATGGAGCATATGGGGTCGTAACACTTTTTTCAGACCCCATTGAAGACAATTGTGTCTCGCAAGTTAAACACAGCGGTGGCGGTAATGAGGCCCCCTGTCTTGGGGGCATGGCGGATACTTTATACAAATGCTGGCGACCTGGATGGCCTTGCGGAGTTCCTAGGTAGTAGCTGAAAGATGACGGATAGAAAGGTCAGAGATTTTAATTATTTTAATCATTAAGGTTTTGTTTTTTTAACTGATTGCGATACAATGATTATATATTATTAAATAGAAAAATAGTTGACCGATGGGTTGCCCTTTCGAGATACCATACACTTATCTCCAAAGTGGTTGCGGTAATAAATATTGCAAAAAATAATAAGTTTGTAATAAAATCGTATAAAATTATATAGTGGTCTGCATTCTACTAATCATTTATTTCTTACTACTTCAATTATAATTGTTAACTTTGTCTTACAAACTAAAGTTTCCTATATTCTACTAGTTGCAACATTTGTAACAGAGTGGAAAACTTGAGATTGCTTCCTAAATAAACTGCAAAGTTGAACAGAATAAGAAATTTTATTAAATTTTCACGTCCGTCGTAATGAAATTTTCCTAACAGCAGTCACCAAAACTAATTTGAAATTCAAACACAACTTGTGGCAATATTGTTTTGTTCAAAGTTGGGATGAAAAATATCCTTAATGAATTTTCTTGCTCATTTTCCAATAAATAGAGAATATTGACATTGGGACAAAGTTTTATATGGGTTGAATAATATTGTTTAATATTGATCGAAGACAAAAAAGGTTTATGCCTTTGGCAAAATCTTTTTTACCACTGATGATAAAATGTTGTTTTAGATATACAAATATTTTTAGGAAAACATTTCAATAAAGAATGGAAATCAGTGTGTTTACTTACATAACGCCATTGATGTGATCTAATTTTACGATTTTGTTTACTTCGAATCGACCATGGGTCAAAGGCAAAACTCTCTTTTTGCTTATATGTACATGGACGAGATGCCTATAGTAACCTGAAAATAAATTCAATGATAATAGAAATATGATATATATATATATATATATATATATATATATATATATGATAATAAATATTGGAAAAAAAATTAATATATATATACCGGCAGGCCCATCGCGAATGGGCGCTAAAGTCACATATGAACTTCCATCAGGAAAGAAAACTGGTGGATGAGTCGCTTCCACCCAGCCTCGTCCTGCTCCTGATACACTACTTGTCTAAAATCAATAAATAAATCATAATATAATATTAAATATCATTATATTTTATATAAATTCAAAATATAATTCATAGATACAAAGCAAAAATATTAAATATTCCGGATCCAATTTATTTTTAGCCATATATTATTATTTATAATTAAAAATTAATATCCAAGGTGAGTTTTCTTGCATTTAAATCAGCTAGAAGGAATTATGGTAGTAACTTTACTAATTTATACACATAAAGTTAAAATTATCTACGAAAATAAGATAATGAAAATATAACATTATTTACCAGCAAGTTTTCTCATTAAAGTTCATGAATAGAATAATGTTACATCATGCTCAAGCAAATAGTATACATATGAAAGGAATTTAATATTCTTGTAAGTTATTATGATGCTAATCAGAAATTATATATTTGCCTACACGAAACGTTGCTTTATAATATTTTGATTGGGTAAATTTTCACAGAATGTTTAATAAATTTTTATGGTTAATTATAAAAAAATCACTGTGAGTCAGGTAGAGGATGCTCTTCAGGATTTCTGAGTTTAATAAAGGTTTTTCATTTCTAGTGTGATCCATGGTGATTCAGGGTGAATGAATTTAACTAGGAATCTTGGTTTATAGGTACCTTGGTTTATGGGTACTAGTTAGTTATAATTTTTTCAAATACTTCTTATTACCTCTTGGCAATTCCATGCAGGACTTTTGCATACAGATACTATGGAATGATTTTGTAGTCGATTTAACCAAACGACACAGACTTCTGTTAAAGATATCCAAGAAGCTGAAGTAAAATAATGTTCTCTGCAATTAGAAAAGGAAACAATATTTAGATTTTACCACAATTAATACAAATGATTATTCAGGAACTGCCTTAATTAATCACTATTTATAGCTTTTATTGCTGTTTTACAACTTGGTTTTGTAAAAATTTGGTTAGTCTGTTAGAGAAAATTCAATTTATTATTTATTACTTACTTATCTGCTAATGGTGCAGGAGGTTTTAGAATACTCGTCCTGATATTTTTTGGGTCTGCCAGATCAGCCACGATCAGTCTTGCCACCGGATTTGCGGTTCCTGGTTTAGGGTACCGGAGTGACCTCATTTCTGGGTAAAGAGAAGCTCCTTGGGCAACTCCAAACCAGGGAAAATGTTGCTCCTCTACTTGAGAGTCGTTGAACGAAGCATATAGGACCAGATGGCCGTCGTTTGACATCCATAAGGCCGTGTTGGATGATAAGATCTCTTCTGCAAAGGAAAATATATTGATGGAATTAGTTTTAATAAGGATGGAGATATGAGGAATACAAGCTTCTAAAACTATGTAGTAACTAGGTGTTAGTGGCATTTTGCTTTAACGCCAGTTTTGCCTTTCCTGTGTGTGCAAATAATCGTACTTTCCTCCTACTTCAATCTCTTTCCTCTAATTAAGTGGTAACCAAGTCCTTTACCCAAAAATTGTTTTGCACGTTTGCAATATCCGAATTCCGAAAGTTGCAATAATGATCTCCAAGGAAATAAGTCGAAGATAATTCTATCGCAAATCTTCTTGGGACAACAATAAAACGTCTCGAATTCTACGTGACTTTTCTAAATGAATCTACACACTGACGATCGTAACTGGAGTCAGGGTAAACTTTGCTTCTGTATACACATACTTGGAAAATGTTTTTGTCACAGTAGATGGAGAGATAATGAATAATTTATTAAAAAGACATTTATTAAAAAATTTAGTAAAATTATTGAAAAAATTTGTAATTAAGTTTCTAAAAAGTTATGGTAAACGTAGTATATTTTTATTAGTTATTATGAAATGAGATCAAGTAAATCTTCCGTTTTTAAGAACATTACTAGTTGTTTAAATAGTATTGACCGCGGTGCCATCAACCTCCCATATCAGACCAATTGAATTTACCAACTTTAAATTTTTGTCACGATTTTGGCGAACTATAAGTGTAATGATTTGTTCGTTAATCATTTACAATTTGAGTAAGTTCTCTACCAGATTCCTCTCTATTTTTACCTTCTCTGTTTGAAAACTCGAATGTATACTTCGAGATCGAGATACACTTTGTACAAATAGAAGTCGTTCTTATATAAGGAAAATGCTTGTGTGAAACTAGGTAAAGGCAATGCAAAGAACTATTCTATTCCACGTTCATATATTTTCCTCCGTAAGTGAACTCCGAAACTAAGTGAAATATATCTCGAGATAAAACTCATACAGTCAACAGCCACTCGGTTTAATATGCTTTCCTTGAATACTTTTTCGTATTATGAAATGGTATCTCAAACTCCAGTTGGTACAAACTATTCTTTTCCAACTGTTCATATTGTTTTACCAAATTCACCACGTCAATCCATTGAAAAAAAATCAATCAACTACAAAAACAAGTAGTTAGGACTACCGAAAAACAAAATGTACTATCATCATTAGGAGGAATCTATTCTCGAATCTTTTCGTCTTCCACTCTCTAGAGACGAAAGATTTTTTTTGGGATAGTTTTTGTACCATCTTCACAAATGGATAGTCTGATACTGTAATCACACCTAAAGTATTGTAAGAAAACCCGAAGGCAATTGAAAGGAAAGATACTTGGAACATTTTAGGGAAAGGACATGGTCTTTTGTGTCCTGAAGGATTCATGTGTAATCGGACCCAGGAAGATTTATTTGGGAAATCGGTATTGATAAAAATATAGTTCTACATATATATATATATATATATATATATATATATATACGTGGTCCTTAATATGGACATTTTCGAATTTCCTTGCTCCCAAAAGCTCAAATTGTTCCAAATTGATAAAAAACAATTCTCTGAAAGCTTTAGCTCTTAATATTGTCTTTTAGATAAACCGCAATTCAATCAAAGTTTTGTATGGAAAAAGCATGAAAAATTTTTCAAAAAAATTCCAGGGCGTCGAATTTTCAATAAAAATGACACAAATTTTTACTTTTAATTCATTGATTGATTAATAAGTTAAACTTAAAAATTTTTTTTTTTTATTTTCAAATTTTTTTCCATGCTATTTCCATACGAAGTTTGATTGAATTGCGCACTATCTAAAAGTTAATATTAAGAGCTAAAACTTTCAGAGAATTGTTTTTCATCAATTTGGAACCATTGGAGCCCTTGGGAGCAAGGGAAAAAATTCGAAAATGTCCATATTAAGGACCACCCTAATATATATATATATATATATATATATATATATATATATATATTGAATGGTAGTACCTAGTTCCGAAACGTCGACAATAAACAAATTGTTTTTTTTAAAACTTTTCTTGTTTTTTATTTTGTATTATTTTTGGATTCTTGTTCGAAACTCTACAAAATATATATATATATATATATATATATATCTCAATTATCCTCACTTTATAAAAATATTTCAAGCGTACTTTTTATAAATACGTAGCTGTTCAAACATCGAATTCCCGTTTGTATTTTCAAATACAAATAAAACCTTTTTTGCATTCAAAAAGTGAAAAATGAACGACACTTCAATTCATGTTTTCATTTCGAATTATTTTTCCATGTCGTTAAATTGATGATTTTTCACACAGTAAAAATCTCGCTATTGAGAAATGTAGTATATAATGTTTGCTAATAATTTATATTTTTATATATACTGAAACAGAATTATTTAATGCTTTTTTACATTTAATTAGCTTATATTTAATCATCATAACAAAGTTTAGAGTTTAAATTACCTGTAATGTTCATTAAAACTATGGTAACTCTATAGGAGTATAAGAAGCTTTCATTTCAATGTTTTAAGTGCAGCTTTCAAATGAGTATCATACAATGTTGCAGAAAATAGCGCAGACGATAAAAATTTATCATCATTATCAAAGTTAGTTATTAAATATATAAAACTAATTATTGCCAGTCAAACTTTTATAGCTAAAATTACCCACTTTCTTCATTCTCCATCTCAGAGATCTGTGATCACAAATATTTCACCGATTAGAGAAATTTCATAGACTAGACAGTCGTAGATACTTCTGAACTTGCAAAAACCCGAAATGAATTTTTTATCTACATATTATCTGTACAAAAAATGCGCATACGAATGCTAGAAATGCTTTTGCAGAAGATATATTCTTTTGACGTCCAAATACCTTCGCATCTTTTTCGTATCCGAAATGTTTTCGTTCATTTTTCAAATCGCGTACGATTTGAAAACACACGCGAGATACATCAAACCTTCAGCGAAAACACACGTTTCATCACCCAAAAGATAAAATAGTCCGAGAGTCCAAGACAACGTAGTAAAAGACTCTTACTTATGCCAGGCTTCGATTTTTAGTCTGGGTATGTTGGTTGGTACAGTCCCGGATTTTCCCCTTGTGTCCCGGGTTTTTCTAAAAAAAATATTTGTCCCGGATTCAGATTATTTGTCCCAGATTGTCCCGGGTTTTCGAGAAGTATAGGTTCATATTGGTCACCTTACTAAGAATCGCATTTATTATCCTGTATTACTTCGTTTTGTCACATCAGATTCTATGTAAAATAGTGATACAAAGGATAATGCAACGGAAGTGCGTTACGGCAGATAAGATAAGATAAGAGTCGAGTGCCAATGATTCGTCATTCGCTCTCGATGATATCATTTCAATACGGGTCGATTGTGATTAGTCGTCGTGTATGTGAATAGAGATCAGTCGTTGTATGCGCACCTGCATCATTTTATCCTGTTCCTTGAAAATAATAAAATAAATTACACCTTTGTTCCGTGAACTAAACGTCAGTTTATTGATTAGAAATTATTTCTATATTATTCGTAGTTTCTATAAATCTTTGAAGTTATTAAAATGGAAAATATTTTTTAGGCAAAACAGATATTACAGATGTTCAAAAAATGAGATTATATCGCCAGCGAAACAGTAAAAAAATACATTTTTTCTTAAAAACTTAAAAATTTCTCCCAGCTTTCTCTCTAAAACTTTCATACCACCAAGTAGGTTAAGATATTCCGCTTTGTAGGGGGATTTGCAACAAAAAGCTTTTTTCTATACATATCTTTTATAGCAATTTTTTTGTTCCGTCGAAATAAAATAAGAAACCTGTGTATGTTCTTTGCTGGAATAATATTTTCTTTTAATGGCGTTTTATATATGGGTACCTTGTAATAAAAAGAAACGGATACAGAAATTTCAGGAAAAAGTTACAGTCGTTGGATAAATAATTTTATTATTTATACCCAAAATGTTTGTATCAAAGTATGAATTACTAATGATCAACTATAAAAAACACTGTAATGTAAAATATTAATTTATTATGCAACTATAAATCATTCCTTAATCAAAATTATATAAATTTATTGATATATCTGAACTGTCCTGAAGAAATTTTGAATAAAAAAAATATTTTAAGTTGGGAAATTATGAGCTTTTAAATGCAACCTGGAGCTTTGGTGATATTGTGACCATTTTTCTGTTATTATAATTAATTTCTATTACTTTTGTTTATTTAATTTTTGCAATTATAATCGCGAATAACATTTCTAGGACCGCAATAAAAAATAAAGACATAATTGTTCCAAGTTGTCATGAATTAAGACTTTTTGTTGAACTACAAATTTAAATTTTTTTGTTTGACTTTGAGAGGCCTTTCTTTAAAAAAATTATACTGAAGTAATTGATAATTTTATTAATAAAAAAATGAGAAAAAAATGTCGGGTCATTTTTTAGTTCGGAATATCCTCGAGAGTATATCAACAATACCTACTATTACTTCGTTTCGGGTTGACGTTGAGTTCTGGCACACCCCGTATATATACATATATATATATATATATATATATATATATATATATATTTATTATTAATGTGTATGTTTTAATATAATAATTTTAATATATTTTGTTATATCAGGTTCGCAAAAATGAAATTAATCCGACAGAGCGTGAGCGTACACTTGAAAACTCAATTATAAACTTAATTAATACGCCGAAAATTATTCCATTTATCTGCATAACAAAAATAAAGTCGAGATATAAATTTGCACACGCTGTTCGGATTCATTTATTTTAAGTTCCTTTAATTTCGAGCAGGGAATCATTAATAATTTGTCGAAGATAAATGACATGTTGAAAATTCGATGAGGAAAATGGAAAAGTGGAAAATGAGTGACTTTCCACTTCTCTATTTAATGGAGTTGATAGGAGAAATATTTTTTTATTTGGTCATAGTTTATATAATAAAATAAAAAAAAATACGAAAATAAAATAAGATATAAACTGTAAAATTTTGTGTCTAATAACCATAGAACTAAATTCCAAAAAATACTAAGATGAGATGTGGACAAGAGATTTTAATTTTTTTTATTCTAAAAAGTTACGTCGACTCCTCTATGTATGTTATATAACATCAAAGTGTTTTTCAAATCGCATTTATTTTTTATGAATCGAATATGATACAAACTATATGTCGATAATATGACAAAAATTTCAATACATATTCTGTATGGAATTTAAAATGTCAAAAACCTTGTTTCGGGATAATAGGATTGAATGTAAAATCATATTTACCATAACAGGCAAATATTGCCATGAAAATATATCTGGGTCAAACTAAATCCGATTTTATACTTCGAATAAATAAAATATTTTTAATTGAGGCAGAAAATACATTACCAAATGTATAAGTACCCAAAGTATAACATATAAAATCAAGTTAGATATAAATTATAGAATTTGAAAAAAATATGCTCAAAATAAATTTTAATCTAATTTTTAAGACTAAGTAGAATAAAATAAAATATCATGTATGCAATCAAATAAGTTACTAAAATTAAACTAATTTGAAGACCAGCTATACAAATCAATTTCATCCTAATAAAAAATATTGGTGTGAAGTTTTTGTATTTCACACTCAAATTGTTCTTGTTATAAAAATCTAAATATTTTTGAGAATAATTTGTTTCAAGGATATTTTAATATACGTATTAATTTCTGCAAAGTTAAATTATGATATTACTTTTTGCCTCTACAAAATATAAATAAATGATCAAGTTTCCTCGATCCTTATATATTGCTCAAAGCTTTGTTCGTCTTCAAACAAGAAAATAATTTTTAATTCTTTTTTATCGGAAAGTTCAATATAATAAAGAACGTTGTCTAGTGTAATATTACCTCACATCATAATTTATATTTTCCATGAAAAAGATTTTTTTTAATAATAAAAGCTGGGTGTAGTATACGAGTATATATCGTGCCACCATATAATATACAAAAAAGATTATAAATTATTTTAAAGTCATTGTGTTCATAATAAGATTTGGTATAATAAAACTGCTTTGTCATAACGTTTTTATATAATTTCATAGAAAATTTAATGCGAGAGTTTATGGAGCTGGATAAATGTTATTTTAAGTAGTTTTTGATGTTTTATATATTTAACGAAAAATTGCGAATTTGATGAACATGAGTAGTAGAAAGTTTTAGTAGTCATTTTTCCATACATAAGCTAAAATATAAAAATGTAGAAAATTAGAAAGTTGAAACCTCAGTCAGTTTGGGTAAATTGCACTTTTTTGTGGTATTTTATACACAATTGCGTAATAATTGCAAGTATCATGTATAATAATAAAAAACAACTTTTTAACCATGCTCTGTTACAAATTGCATACTTAAGGTGATGAGCTATCTACTATAATCAGTTTTCCACTTGTGTTGATATTTAAAAAAATATTAAGTACATCTTGTTTTTGCAAAACATTTTGATATGCACTTTAAGATATCATTTTTACAAATTTTGATACAGAGATATTTGTATTCACGGGAAACAAAATACCGTATCTAGTTCTATAATTTACTATATCAGTGTTTTGTATCGTTTTAGAATTTGGAATAAAATTGATTATAGCAGCTAGGATAGAATAATACTTAAAAAATCTGGCAGGAACAATATGAATAAAATAGGAAAAATATGAAATAGTTTGCATGAACTCCTTTAATTTATAAAATATTCTTACGTTCGACATATTTTATCGTCGAAGGAGATAATTTTCTATCATAACGAGCTTATCCCAAAATGGGATTTTTAGAAATACTGCTCTATGTAAAAGAAGAAGTATAAAAATTTATTTCTATTAATCATGACTATTTTACTAAATTGTATTTTGAATAAATCAATTTTAGGTAAATGTTGAAATGTATAAAAACACTGAATTTCCAAAAAAAATTTATTTTAATTTAAAAAGTTAATTTAATTTAATTTAATTCTTAAATTAAAGAAAAATATAATAAAGTATATTTCTTATTGAACAAATATTTAAAAATTGTACGACGCATCTAATAATAGTAATAAAAGTTTTAATATTTGGGACAGTTCAAAATAGGGAATGAAATACCGCTAAAAAAATTCAATACCGGTATTTCGGTAATTTTTCATTTTAAAACCGGAATACCGGTTAAATACAGGTATTTTTATTTTCTTAAACAAATGTAAACAATATTGAAAGTTACTAGTACAAATATAAAAAATTATTTATACAACTACAACTATATTCAACAAAAAAATAAGAAAAACAAGTTTAATTTTTAACTCATTATCATTATCGAGTATATTGAGTACTTTTTACCAAATCGTATGAGTAAGAAAGAACCAAAACTCATAAAAGATCATATTACATTATTATAATAAACTGTATTGTCTGTATCCGATGTGTTAAATTAGCATAATTTACAATATTTTAAAAACTTTAAAAACGTATTTTTTCTACTAATTTAAGATCCTATAATTGTAGAGTATTTTTATTTAAAACAATATAATTTCAAACTACTGGTATTGCATTCCCTAGTTCAAAAGGTGTCTTTATTAGCTTCTTAATTCCGATTCAGCCACGCTTTTATTATGAATTTTTCTAAATTTAAGTAATAATAGAAAACAAAATTGAATGTGACATCAAGTTTTTCAACAGACTTTTTAATGATGCTTCGAACATTGATGTTTGATTATTGACAATCAAAATATTATAAATAAATAGAACAAAACCATTTAATCATATACACGAATAAAAATAATATCATTCATATTTTTTATTAACAAAATATTTTCCCTCTGACCTTCGTAAAGCCAGTCCGGTACCCCGTTGTAGACGACTCCGGGTATGGCGGTGTTCGTGATCCGGTAACCGGTCGCGGACCTCGGCGCCGGACGGTAGTAGATGTCGTAGTCGTAAACCATGATCAGGCCGTGCACTCGAGGCGCCCATTCCGCGTGCAGGAGGAACGGCCAGGACTCGTCTTCGGGAAACGGCGTTAAGTGGTAGTAATCCCTGGGAAAGAGAAAGATATTATTAACATGAGTGAAATGAAAGTGTGATTACTGAAGAGCCTGAAATATATAAACAACGAGTGGTGTATGGCATTGTGCCTTAAGGCAAATTGCTTGAACTTCCCGTACCAAAAAAATTTTTTTTTAAAAGATTAACATTTTTGAAAAAATTTTACTTTGAAAAAATTAGATTTTTGAGAAACTATAAATTTTTGACAAACATTTACTTTTTTTGAAAATAAAAGACTTTTGGAAAAAATTTTTCATTATTTTGAAATATTTTGAACTTTTTTTCAAAGAAATCGTACTGCTTTTACTGCATAGAGACGAAATATCGAAGCGAGTAAACGCCGCGTCGCCGTCTAACAGATAAACATTGGTACGGAGCCCATACAAATCTAAACAAAATTTATACTTATTGTTAAAATCTCTATAAAATATCTGATAATTTGATGTGCATATGTCTAATGATCATTTTTGACCGTCAAATGGCGTTTTTTTCACTTTTTTCACTAGATCTCCGAAACCTGATCGGAATTTGATCAATTCTTCATCTTATCAATAAAAGTAAAATGTTTTTTGAATTATTAAAATCGAACGCTCCGTTCTCTTGAAAACTGAGTTGCCGTTTGTGGCACTTTTTGCCCCGTATCTTCCAAACAGCTAGACCACTTCTCTTTATCAACAGCAATCGAATGTTTTTTGAATAATTGAAATCGGTTGAACCGTGCTTTCGAAATCGTCGACGAAAATCTGTATCCGCACACACACACACACATACATCCATTTTTTATGTATGCCTCTAAAACCTCTAAAACGTAAAGATATATAAAAAAATTTTTTCCGAGTTTTTTCCGATAACTACCCTACGGGAAGTTAAAAAGATTTACTTATTGAAAAATTGATTAACAGATAATCTCTTAAAAATGAAGGTTAAGAGTAAAATATTTGCAACATAATTAAAGCCTATAAACATGTATTAAATTGATTGTAAATTAGTTTATCTCATAGGTTCCCAAACCTTTTTGATCTGATAGCTCATAATTTCCAAACAATTTTCCAATTTTTTTTTGGAACTGTTTTGGTCACCCCGTTTTGGCTTGACGTCAAGGTCTTGGATACCTTGTATAAAATATCTCTTTGCCAAAATAGGGAAAAAGTTAACAATCTTTTCTAAATCATTATCTTTTAAATTTACAATTATTTATTAAAAAATACTACATTTTTCGACTTTATTTTCATCAATTTTGCAGGTCGCAATTTTTCATTGAGTATATAAAATGTCAAAAAACTACTTTAAAATGACATTTATTTAATACTAGCAGTTCCATAAACTCTTGTATTCAAATTTATTTGCCATCGGTATGGCCTTGGACTCTCTATTTATCCATAATCGTTTTTTCTTATAAATTTCTTCTATCTAATATAATATTTATTTCTATCTTTAATAAAGTTTATTATTGAATATTTAAAGCAAAAATTCAGGTTTTTTTGTACATTATTTTATCGGATGTGGACTTACTGCCATGGACCTCTGGAAATCCATTTGAACTATTTTAGGAACACTGATTTAACTCGTGTTTTTTTCAAAGATTTTTTTTTTCAATTTTATGATGCAATACGCATATATCATTACGAATCAGCAAAAACATCTGACGAATATATGATAAAAAAAGTTGATTACAAATTATTAGATACACCCAGTGACGTATCTACTAGAGCAACAACAAAAAATAATTTTCTAGTTGATTTTTTTATTTTCTGATTTTAGAACAGCTGTCATAAAATTTCATACTCATTACCAATAGGTTGATTTTAATAATGATCATTAAAAAATCACCAGTATTGCAGAAATTGTGAAGGTGAAAATTTGTTGAAAAGGTGTAAATTTTTAAATGTTAAAACGGAATCAATCACAAGTTGTTATCCTGGCAAATCGCCAATTTCAGAATAAGAGCATCTTTATGTAAACTCTAGACAATATCAGACTCCTAATCAACACTTAATCTTAATTGGGTTTAACACGAAATTTGGGCAGCTCAGGCGATTCTCTAGTCTCTACACCTTGTTATCGATGTTATCTTCAGCCACTCAAGTCGAATTGTATGACGAGATTACTGCCACTCGAAATAAGGGATGAAAATAAAACTTTAGTAATAATAGTAGATTATTGAATAGATTGTTAGAACTCAATTACAAAAATCCGGGAGCTTAATCATTTCAACGAAAATACCAAAAATTTATAGAATTTTTTTGTTTACAAAATTCAACAACAAAATTGGGTGACATAATAACCAATAAAAACAGCAAATGAGTATAGAATATTTGTTACAGCAAAACTTTTCTGAATTAAGTTCAACGTTCAAGCACATGAATAAAAATTCACCTATCTATTTATTTTCTAATAATAATAATTTTTAATAAACATAAAACATGTTCTCCATAGGTGGTATCAAATCTAGAAACCAGATTCATTTTTCGCCTCTAGACCAAATGTTGGACTTCATTTATTTTTGTACCATATATATAGCAAATTCTGCTTCCAGGATGTTGTGTTGGCTTTGCTCTAGTTATTATTTTGACAGGGTTCCACATCAGCATTAAAAGCAGTTCATTGTTGTGATCGTCATAATAAAGTGCGAGGCGGCGCATAATAGTCTAAAGTTTGGAATCAAAATGTTCCGACGACGTCAGTCAGCGCGATTATTATTCACGTCGAATGATTAGACGTCTAATTCCGTCATGATGCGAATTTCTGATCAAAATCTTTCCATACAATAATAATCGATAAAGACATTTGAATTTTGAGTGATTGGTAATGTTGATTAAATTAAACTGAATATAAATTGAAACTTGCCTAATTTAAATATTGGTACGAAAGATTGTGGCATAATACAAATATAATGCAACATTTATTTTTTAATCCATTCTTGGGTTCCAAGGCCTAAAGGTTAGAGCTACGGCTCGGTTTTCACATGCAAAAATATCTTAGTATTGAATACTTATATTGGTCAATTTGCTATAAATGATACAAAAATGAACTATGTCCAAAATTCATTTTGAATTCAAAAAATAGTTTTTTTTACCAAATAATAGACACACACACCAAATAGCAGACTACACTAAACTTGGCAAGCTGCAATAGCAAATGTAGATTTTTTAAATTATGAAATACCCATCTTGAGGTTATTATAAAGACAATTACTCTATTACTGTATATCCTATAATATGTTAATCATTTATTTAAATATAGTAATTCTGAAAACACAATGAGCAAAAATTTGGCCTGAATGAATAAAATTTCACCGAAAGTAAAATTATCGATTTCATCTTTCGAACAAGGTAGTGATAAAACCAATATGGACTTATAGCATTGAATTGTGGGGCTGTGCGAGCAAATCCAACATAGTGCTAATGCAACGTGCCCAATCGAAATTATTAAGGCAGATTACTGATGCTCCGTGGTTTGTTAGCAATAAAACCTTACACGATGATCTTCATATTGAATTTATAAACAGAATTATACAAATCAACAGTGTAAAACATTTTCATAAACTAGAACATCATACAAACTATATAGTCAGTCAGCTTCTTGAGACAGCAATTTCAAGAAGACTGAAGAAGAAGCTGCCTAAAGATAATATGGAGGACCTTTAGAACTATCACAACCTAATATGAACAGAATAGTAGAATTACTTATTGAAGTGATTCTCTAATTATCAATATTTTATCAGATTAATTTATATGTGTGTTTGAAAGTGTGTGTGTATGTATGTGAATAACATAAGCCAAATAGCTCATAGAATTGTCATGTATTCTGATTGCTATTGAAAATAAAATTAAAAAAAAATGTTTCGAATTGAATATATTTTGCATTACTAACCTTTTGAACACGAAAGTGTACAACATTCGAAGAGATAAGTTGCATATACAGATGATAATCTTTAATACAGCAGTAAGATGACTAATTTAATAATTGATATAATTTTATTCTTATCAGTCAAAATAATGGTTTCTACGACGTATATTTGATAAGATATTTATGTACTTTTTATCTGTTGATAAATAAAATTGCACTTGCTACCGGATATTTCGATATGAACATAAGATTTAATATTTTTAATCAAAAATTTAGATGCTTAGGAATTTTGAGAATTTTTTCGGCTGACTGAACATCCGAATAGCTTGCGAAAAAGATTTTGGATCAACTTCATAACAGAATAATGACTTTCCAAAAATCGAATCGAAAAATTCCTAATGTTGATTTTATCAATTAGAAAAAATCTATTTTGTCTTTTTTCTTATTTTTATAATTTCACTATATGGAACTTCATTACTGGAAGGGGTTCTTAGATTTTTACTCATTGGACAATTGATTTAATGTCTTATGTAAATAGATGATCAAACAAATAATAATAGTAATGATAAAAATGAATAATCAGAGCTAAATCTGTAATAAATTATACATTTGTTTAATTTTTTAAGTTCACAAAGATTCGTATTGAACCTAATTATACATTCCAACTATTTTAGGTACTATTTTTGAATTTTCCAATGTGAATTTTACTCCTATTCTCTATCCCTCGACTATCCCTGATATATTTCCCGTATGATACACATATGAAACCATATATAATAATGGTTTTGTATGAAATGGTGAAATATTACAAACGTCGGTAATAGGTTATAGGTTGCTCTCTGTAACCGCTAACACAAACGGAAAACGCATTCGGTAATTCAGCCACCGCGAAATGTTCTGGATTCACGGAACATGATTCGATTTTGCTCAAATTTATTAACATAAGCAATATTATTCAGTAAAATAATTTTGGACAGTAAATAATAGACTGCAGATAGTAATAGAGCAAGTGCAAGGGATAAAATCTCGAAAGGCACGTGGTGCAATTTATATAAATAGTGGCAAAAACTTGACAAAAATATTGTCATTGTCGTAGTAGGGGGAAGTCCCCGAGTGCCGGACACCTAAGGTTATTTATAAATAAATCAAAAAAATATTTTACGAAATGTTTATTAAATTATAACTTATGTTAAATAACAAAGTTAGAAATCAAACTGAATTAAAAAAAACGCAACCTTTGCTAAAAATAATTAATACTATCAATAAAACATTGGTAACACGAAATATGATTCCAGAAAGTGGCACCTAGTACCGGACATTTCAAAATAACCTGCATTGAACACATATGTAGCTATCTTCACACTCTTAATGTCTTTAAAAGGATTTATACTCGCTTAAATAATACGTGTTAAATAGAGTGTCCGGCACTAGTTGTATTTCATTGTGACTATTATATCATGAATGTAATTTGTTAGATGAAATCTTGAAAATTTCTACAATACTGAAAAATATAATATTTTTCCAAAATGATATTTCTATTTTTACTGAAATTAAAAAATGATACGTATTATTACATAAACAGTACATAAATTAATTTATCAATTATTAAAATATTTGTTTATTAAATTCGCCAGATTGATACTGTACAAGTTCCTGTCCATGTGGAAATTATATTTAAATTTATTTCTACATCATTTTGCTGACGGCCTAATACTAAAAAACTATCCAAGAAATGTAGTTAGAAGTTATGTCAAATTTATTAATAATTTATTCATATATCTACTTATAAAAAGCATTATAAAAGTATGATTTATAAATAAAACCTTGATTTGCTTATCTTATTTTCTTTATGGTACGTGCGGATTCTTGGAATGGCATATTTCATAATTCATGTGGAGGACAAGGATGTTTGCGGAGAAAGTAATTCATGTCATAAATATAAATTGATCCTGTTCAATATGGTGAGCATATTATGTAGATAAACAACCTAATTGGGGAATTCTATTAGAATCGATACACATGTCTATATTGTCCTCAGTTGAACATATTACTTCTGATATAATGCAAAAAATTTTTTATAACCAGATGGATTTCTGTCTAAAATCTTTTCGACTTTACATGGTTTTATATTTATTGTTAATTAAAATTGGTCGAACAGAATGGGTATCTTTCACCATTAATGTTTCATTTATTTTCGACTTAGTAGCTGCTAATATTTCAAGAATACATGTATATATATTAATGTTAGCAGATCAATACTATTTCATATTCAAATCACGAAATGTTCTGGGTCGTTTATTATTTCAAGGGTTCGTGATACTGGTGCACATTACTGTTAAACATTATCGCCGGCTGCCCCATAAGACCATAACCAAGTTATTCGGTCTCCAGAATGGGACCGAAACAATACTAGCCGGAGCTAATAACCGGAGTATGTGGAAGACGGGGTACTTAAATTTTAGGAGTATGTTCTGGGGAATTACACACTTGAGAATTACCGGAGAAATATTTGAGAACACAAGAACTGTCTTAGCGTAATAATGGGATGATTTTAGACGCAAGCGTTGGGTGCAAAATTATATTTTTGAGTTGTTTAACAATTTGGTTGCTTGGCGAAACTGACGAATAAATTTGTAACTATGAATTGTCACAAAGCGTAGGTAATTCATTTAATATTTTACTATTGATAAATATCAAAATAAACTAGTGGAGTATGACATCGTGTCTTCAGGCAAAATCCTGAATCTTTCATACCGCAATTTAAATTTTAAAAGCTTTAAAAAATTTTGAAAACTTTGAAAAAATAAATTTTTCTATTGGTTGTGGAAATTTTTGATTTCCTGTACAAATTAAAAAAAAATTGAACAATTTCTCATTATGTGAATACATATGATATGTTTTTTGAATCATTCAAATCGGTTGTTTCCTTCTGTCAAAATTGTCATTTTTTGCACATTTTGCCTAATATCTTTAAAACAGTTGACCAAAAACCAATCAGCACGTCTCCCCATCAATAGCATTCAAATATTTTTTGAATAATTCAAATCGGTTGATCCGTTATCTCAAAATCGTGGACAAAAAATTGTATCCGCACAAACATACGCACATCCATTTTTTCTAAAGTATGCCAAAATGTTCAGATACGTAAGGATATGCAAAAATATACATTTTAGACTTTTGAACTATTACAATAACTTGCTCCACGAAAACTTACCCTTTCCACTCGGATGCCGCTGCTTCGGCGACAAAATACGAATTGATTCTGCAATTCGCGAATGGAAAGGGTTAAATAAAATTCGAAAATATCAATAACGATTGAACAAAAATATATTTTTTAATTAAATTAGTATTATAGAGTTAATTACATATAATTAGTTTTATTATATTAACAGTTATATTTTCTAGCAATTCGTTTGCAGTCTGATTCTTTAGAAATTTAGGAAATATTTTTATGGTTCAGTTGACATTAATTAAATAATTTTACTTAAATTGCTGAAGTAATAACAAATTTGAATAAATTTCAACGGAACAATCTATTTCGACTGCTCAAACCATCTCTACAATACTTTCACGGTTCTTCTCAAAAATTCATCTTCCGATACAAAATTGAATAAAAATCGTTTTCCCCAGAACATGATCCAACAAAAAATAAACGTCCCACACATCATCTCTTGTTTGAATCAGAGTTCTTCCACAAATGCAACACGTGTCGATAATGGCAAGTCGGAGAAACCACATGTGTAACCCAGATATTGGTTTTCGCATTATCTCCCAAATATCTTTTATATATGACCTTCTCGATGCCTCGGAACTTTTTACCTCGATGATGGGAATTTGAACGATTTTCTCGCATATACTATGTTAAACTTTGTTACAAAATATGAAGAATATTAAAAAATATTCAATGCAAAAATTTCTCGAACGAAAGTTCATGGTTTGCAAAAGTTTGAATAAACGAATAGATACATGTAAAGAAGATTGATGATGCATGTCGTTCGAATATTTTTTGTATTTTGTTTTCTGGATAATAGCTGATTTTATGGAAGTCTGTAATGATATTCATATTGTTATACAATAATTCTATTTTTACTTAGAGAAACGTCTTTTAATGAATTTATTCGGTTGCAAGTTGTAACAATTCTGGTTTTTATTCATGTAATATTTTACATAATATTTGAATTAATCTCTATTTTAATTTTACATTTATAATTTAAAGTTTGGTTAATTTTTTTCCAAAATATTGGTTCTTACCCCTATGATATTTTACATATGGGTATCTTAATTCATCTCTCATTTACAAATTACAAATATATTATCAACTTTGAGTGGCAATTATTTAGTTATTTAAAGACCTTTAATAATTGTTTATTTTGGTACTGATTGGATCAATATGAGATCAATATATTTCAAAATTAATTATCTTTATGTCAATATATGTTTTTATCAAATCAATAAGAAAACAGATAATGGCACTCATTATCAGAGATTATCTATCTAATGGTATATATCATCAAATTTTGTGAATGGAAACAATTTGAAGAATGACTTGGCTATTTTTCTTTGCGTTTTTCTTGGACTATGTATAGTTCGGTCTATCAAAGAATTTTCCAAAAAAAATTGTAATTAAAATTTTACCTTGTTTCAATGTCGTATACGGCATATTGGGCTAGACAAGAATGTCTGAAGAGTTTTTGAACATTTTGCGCCAGAAGTAAAAATCTTCGGTCGGCCGAAATACTGAACCTGGCTGGATTTAAGCTCCTCTGAAAAAAATAATTTTATTTAAACCAAACTTTAAAATAGGCACTATAAAAAATTAAATCATCTTTGTAATAAAAATTTCTCATTTGTGTTTTTAATTGCAAATAGTCATTTTTGTTCATCAAGAACATAATAAGGGCATGGTCAGTCCAATTTTATTAATTCATATAAGGACCTTTAAGATAATTATTTTATTATGATATTGACTTACATATGTCTGGTTGGATAATAGAGTCTTTTCTGATTGATTCGAAGCGAATAATAAGCTTATTCCGCCCCACTTGTCCAAATATATGAGTTCGTCCGCTGAAAATAGAATTAAATTAAACCCATTATAATTTTCACTTTTGGGAACAATCCAAATAGAACAAAACCTACTATCATAATTGAAATATAGTAACATAACTCATAAAAACATTTGGTTAAGACACTTTTCATTATACTATATCCAAGATCATGCTGATTTAAAATTCAAGATTATGGCCTGAGCCTTTGATAGTTACATATTTGGGTTCTTAAGGTTTCCAACCCAAATTTAAAACCTAATTGAAAAAAACATTAAGAATATAATATAAAACAAATAAAAATATTTAATATTCAAAAATATAAAAATTAAAAAAAAATTAATATTGAAATAATGTATAAACTGTACCAAATGATGCATATATATAATAGGATGGTCCTTAATATGGACATTTTCGAATTTTCTTGCTCTCAAGGGATCAAATGGTTCCAAATTGATAAAAAGCAATTCTCTGACAGTTTTAGCTCTTAATATTAATATTGTATATCAAAGATTTGTATGGAAATAGCATGAAAAAATTTACAAAAATTTAGCAGGACGTCGAATTTTTAATAAAAAATGACACGAATTTTCACTTTTAATTCATTTGTCGCTAAGCCTAATTTTTTTTTTTAATTTTCAAAATTTTTTCCATGCTATTTCCATACAAAGTTTGATTGAATTGCGCACTATCTAAAAGTTAATATTAAGAGCTAAAACTTTCAGAGAATTGTTTTTTATCAATTTGAAACCATTTGAACCCTTGGGAACAAAGAAATTCGAAAATGTCCATATTATAAACCACCCTAATATGTAAGGACTATTACCTGAACTATATTGATTTAGTTATACATTACATAAGTAATATTTATGTAAATTCTATTAATATTTGCAAAGAGAGTTTTAGAAAACCTATTTCATTACATAATACGATTTTCTGTGTAATATTATAATTTTCTCAGCTGCCACGACCTTTACAGAAATATACGGACTAATGTCAAGTAGTTGTTTTATTATTCATAACTCTTGAGAGTGATTCCTTATTCTGATATAAGAGCACGTTCGAGCCAAAAAATAACTTTGGTAAAATAAATTTGATATATTTCTGCGGATTATTTTTATACAGCGCTTTCTAAATTTATTATAGAACATAAATATTATATAAATTCATTAATCCAAATTATTTGTTTGGACTGCTAATAACATGGCAACCATGAAATTATAATTAAGTTTCCGTAGGACAAGTTATAGTAATCGCAAAAAAATCTGAAATGAAAATTTTTATATATCTTTACATTTCAAAGGTTTCTGAATATTTTGGCATACCTTAGAAAAAATTGATGTATGTGTGTGTGTATGTGTGTGTGTGCGTGTGTGTGTGTGCGGATACAAATTTTAGTCGACGATTTCGGGAACACCGATCAACCGATTTAAATGATTCAAAAAACATTCGATTCGTATTGATAAGGAGGCGTGCTGATTAGTTTTTGGCGAAGGCAGGTTTAGCCGTTCCGAAGATACGGGGCAAAAAGTGCCAAAAACGGTAACTGAGTTTTTAAGAGAACGGAGCGTCCGATTTTAATAATTCAAAAAACACTTTACTTGTACGGTTTCGGAGATCTAATGAAAAAAGTAAAAAAAATGTCATTTGGCGGTCAAAAATGATCATTAGACATATGCACAGCAAATTATCAGATATTTTATAGAGATTTTAACAATAAGTATAAATTTTGTTTACATTCCATTTTTACTAATTTGACAAATAATATATCATCTATATGTCATAAATTATTTATAAAACAATACCTGTATTTCTATTGCAATAGTAAATATTAATTTGCTAGCAATATTATATTAATTTAATAAGCTTGTACAGAATACAAATCATATATTAATCGAGCCAAAAAGTCATAAATTTGGGTTGTATACAAGTTGATATCATATAATAAAATATTTATTACTGTTTTACTATATACAATGAACAAAGTAATAAATCGGTCTTTATAACACTCTGTTAATTATTTGTTTTAGCAGTATAATAACAATTTTGGTGATATTTAACGTACTTGCAACAAGATAAAAATATAATTTTGATTTGGTTTTGATAAAGCAATGATTTTTTTTAGTTTAAACCAGAATTGATTCAATAATCGTACAAAAAATATTTACAATCTATTAAACTTTAAAATTACTTTTACATAAAACACTGTATTTGAGTTGATGACATTATAAGATTTTATAAGATGTTTTTCCTTAATATAAAATGAATTAAAGTCTATAAAAATTCAGTTTTATTACCACCCACATGTTCGTCTAGGGATAGTACACATAAAGTTGGACGAACGATAAAAAAGTAATATAAGAAGGAAATCTTAAAAGTTTTTTTATTGGCTGTAATATAAATCAAGGTTTGTGAAAACTCAATTAAACCATCATAGACCAAGACTTTACTTTTCCTCATATTTGGGTGTAAATTATTAGCTTTCCGAAGGAAAAGTTTAGGCTGTCGCCAGAAAATTGAATTTGCTGAGTTTAAGTTTACTTGACGTTTCAAGTAAACGAAATTGTGTGTATGTTTGTATGTACTATTTAAATATTTACCAGATATCCATGTTCCATTGAATCTCAAAGGATTATAATCCCCGTCCACAATGTCCTGCATTCGTATTCGGAGTCCTTTGACCCTTGGTCCTTCATCTGGTGGGGTCAGGAGCACCACACTGGTCACTATTAGAGCCAAAACTAAAACTATGACCAGCACTGCTATAAGGATACCTCTCCAGTTTCGTTTTGTAGTGTTACTAGAAACCAACTGGAAAGAAGAAAAAATTAATCTATAAATGATAATTAAACCTTTTCTTGTAAGATAGTAATAGTTTTAGATGTTTGCTATGACCTGGACTAATTATATCAAATACAGTGCCATATAGTGTATGGAATTATTACAATTATTTTAATATATCAATTTTCCTACAGAAGTCCTTATTCCTTTATATGGATTGCAATAACATGTCAAAACCAGGTCACGAGACAAACGCAAATCTTCAGAATGAAATTAATTCCTAATTACAAAGATATGATCATCAGAATCGGTATGTGTGCCTTGTTAAAATAATTCTGCCTGAATTAACATCTTAATTTAATCAAGTTAGATGAGAAACCATTATGGAATTGATACTGAGTTTCTGTACTCCGTTAGTAATTTATTTGATACAAGTTATGAAATTTCACAAACCCATATGCTAATATTAGTATTGGTTACCCAAGACAGTAATTCATAAAGGACTTTTGCATATTTAGATTTTAAATTGATTCTTTTTCAATGAATCATCCCATTTCTATGATATCATTATTTATCATATATTATCTTATCATCTAAGCTTTTCATTTATTTGATAATATGGATACCAAAATCAATTTTTGGCAAAACTTTATCACTCACAATATATATCACTCTTCAGTTGTACTTCAAACCGAAATCAACTGGAGACGTCAATAACTTACCTTTTGTTATACTAAGCTTTTACTTGTTAAATACAAAAATACGAGTATAGTAATTATGGATAATCTTTATGATTATTTTGGTAAAAGTGGTGAATCGAAAAGGTACGTTGAAGAACATGGTTTGACGTCAGAGTCAAGGTGAGTAGTAATTTTTCAAGCACCTAAATAATATATAATATATATTATATTTTTTTATAGTTTGATATCTATATTATAGATATCAAACTATATGATTTAAAATATTTAATTAAATGTATATTTGATTTAAATAATAAGTTTATTTTATATAATATTGACATAATATAGAGAATTGCTTAATTATCAATATTTAATTTTTTTACAAGACCAGCAATATTTGACACCCGTGATGCTGCTCCATTTGCTCTACCAAGAGCATATGTAACAGGTCCATGTTTAAGCTCTGACGATAGTTCGAACAATAGTAGGTAAGAATTAAAAAAATTATATTAAGAAACTTTAATTAAACATAATAATTCTATATATAAAACTCACAATATTTTCTTTTAGAACTTCTGAATCAGCAGTTGTTGCTGTCAGGTAGTACAAAATTGAATTTTAACCTGTTTCACAAGAAATGAAATGTAAACTATTTTTAGTCACCATACACCGAATGCATTAACATCATTTTTAAATGATCGTTATTATATGGGTCACAAAAATCAAGGAAAAGTTATAGTATTCAATCATTTTCAATTCGATGACTTTGAAAATCGCGATGGAACACATGAAGATGTGAAAAGAATTGAAAATACTTTTGGGATAAAGTTAGGATTCAAAGTGAAAGTTTATGATGACTTAACAGTGTCGCAAATACTGCAAGTTGTTCATGGATGTATGAATTTATTGTATATTATTTGCTATTTCCTTTATCAATCACTCATTAATATTTTAGTGTCCCAAGCTGACTTTTCTGACGATAATTGTCTAGTGATTATTATATTGACTCATGGAATAGAGAGTAAGTAGAAATATTTGCATATCATCAGTTGGACTGTCCAACTTATACCAAAATCCATAACTATAATTTTGGTGTTTAGTCAGGTGAGTTATTATTATAGATGCTAATTATTTTATTTTTGCAGAAGGATTATTAAAATCCAAGCAGGGATTTTATACGTTGGACGATATTTATGAGAAATTAGCTGGTGATAGATGTCCAACCTTAGCTGGAAAACCAAAGTTGTTTTTCATTCAAGCATGCCGAGGTGCAAAATGTGACCCAGGTGTTGAAATCCAAAGGAGACTAGAGGGCCAGACATCAAGAGATTTGCCACAATTTAATTCTTTTAGAATTCCATCGCATTCTGATATTTTCATGGGATTCAGTTGTTTCGAAAGTATAACATAAAATTTTATCTTTGAACTTACTTCTGGTACTACTACTTATTGTCAAACTTATTTGAATTTCATAATTTGTTTCAGTTTTAAAAATAAAAAAAATATTTAATGCATTTGAAATAACTTTGCTTCTTCGATAATTTACTTTTTTTGTAGATTACGTTTCATGGCGAAGCTCCATGGGCACCTTCTTCATACAATCTCTCTGTGACGTTTTGGACACAAATAGTCACAGAGATGATTTGCTTTCTATGACGACAGCAATTGTAAATAAAGTTGGAGAAATGCGTTCAGTATCTGCTGATAATACTGAACATGATATGATGCAAACTGCTACATTTATAACTACTCTAAGAAAGAAATTTTATTTTAATCATTAAAGTGTGATCGATAGTAATCCTGCTGACATGATCATTAAATCCATAAGATGGAATCTTTTGGTAACTTGCTGGCACTTTATAACCTATGAAGGAATGAAAATCTAGCAGTCATTGGACACGCCGGAGGTTCGGAGTTCGAATAAAAATAAAAAAAGTAACTAGTTTATTGGTATTTTAAGTATTAAAACTAAATAGTATTGATATTTTGCCTTGAGACAACAACAACAACAACATACAACTTCTAGATATGTGTAACTTATCGACTTAATCAATAAAAAATAAAACAATTAATTCATTTTATTTTATTAATTAATTTATGAGTGATTAAACTAGGAAAACGAACGAACACGTTAACTTGGAATATTTTCTAAGAGCAATTTTTAAAAAATCAACAATTTTTATAAATGAACCAGTTTCCACAGGACTTTAATGCTTTAGTATGTTCATTAAGAACAAGTACTCTATCGTTATACCAAGTAAATCGTCTAATTTTAATTTAAACAAACGTCAAAAAAACTACTCATTTTCTCAAACTTTGATAGATTTTCAAAATTAAATTACATGGCGTAAGGCCGTAATATTTCAGTAAGTTCTATAAGACCATGATGTATATCGCAAAAAAAGGTTCTATAAAAATCGGTTTAATTTTTTTTTCAACAGTTAATTACAAGAAAACGGCTCGGTAGATTTTCATCTAAAACTAATCAGTATCATTCCCAACAAATATCTTTCGAACAGTTTTTGATTTTGCAAAATCGATTCTGTAGTATGAGCTGAAATGTGGATGAAACGTTTAACTATTTTTCCCAAATTACAAAGAAACGGTTAGGCCGATCGTCGCACAAAACTGAGAAACGATAATCCTCATCGAGATACATCAATTGCTTTTTAAATTTCTGAAATCGGTTCAGGCGTTTTTGAGAACGTCGATGCAAGTTCTAATTTTGACAAATGCGAAAAAGACCATACTAATTTATGCAAACATTGACGAATTTTTAAAGCTAAACCAGTTGCCGTAGGGCCGTAATATTTTAGTATGATCTAGAAGACTATGGTATCTATCGTCAAAAAAATAATAATAAATATTGACGAAAAAAATTTTTTTAACACCTTATTACAAGAAAACGGCCCGGCCGATCTCTACCAAAAACTAATCAGCACGATTCCCAACCAATATTTTTCGAACGGTTTTTGAATTTTCATAATCGATTCAGAATTGCGGGCTAAAACGTGGACAAAATTTTTTTCACTTTTCAGCGATTTCAGCACGATGCCATGCACCCCACTAGTTTAGCTTTTAAATTGTCATATTTATATTAATTTATCATTTATTTGATAGTATGGATATCAAAATCATTTTTGTATTTGCGAAACTTATACATTTTATCAGCGTCAGTTGTACTTCAATCCGAAGCCAGTTGAGGACGTCAAGTCACTTATCAGTAAAAACTTGTAAGTTTTATCGATTGGTGCAAAAATTATGTTGGATACTAATATTACCACATAATAACTGGTAAATTATAAAAATACAAAAACTTACAGAATACAAAAATATTGAAAAATTATGGCTGATAAAAATAAAAATGTTAGTGAAAGTAGTGAATCGAGAAACCATGTTGATGAAAGGTGTTTGAATTACAATACGACAAAAGATTAATTGATTAACATGTTTCAATAAAAAAAATGTAAACTATTTTTTCAGTCCATTATCAACATTATTTTCAAATGATACTTGTTATGATATGAGTCACAAAAATCAAGGAAAAGTGATTGTGTTCAGTGATTCTTCACCTGGAGCCCTGAAATTTTGGAATGGAAGAACATTTAAAAACGATGTAGACTCTATTCAAAATACCTTTGGGAAAAAACTAGGATTTGATGTTAAAGTTTATAATGATTTATCATTGTGGGATATACGGGAAAAAGTTGAAGAATGTGTGGATTATTACAATAGTATTTTTTGTTAATTTATTTAATAATAACTTATTATTATTTTAGTACAAAAAGACGATTATTCTGAAGATAATTGTCTGGTGGTCTTTATGTTAGCTCCTGCAGCCGGGTGTAAGTAGAAATATTTGCATTCTGTGTAAGCAATCATATTTTAGCTAATTAGTGAGTTATCCTATAACTTATTTTTAAATATAAAACTTGTTAATTCATATTATGAAGCTTAAAAATATTTTCTATATAATCCATTCAATTCTATTTTTTAAATTCGGTTTATGATTTTTCCCTAACCTCAAGTTTTTGCTCACATAAACACATACTTTCCACAATTTTGGTCTCAAATGTTCCAGAGAAAATATTAAAAGTCCGATTTCCTGGAGAAAACATATGCTCCTCTTTCGGGATATTAATAATTTATTATCTTGTAGATAGGCTTTTAAAAGCACAGGAAGATGTTTATAGTGTGAAATCAATTTGGGAGCAATTTAGTGGTGATAAATGTCCAAGTTTGGCTGGAAAACCAAAATTGTTTTTTATTCACGAATTTGACGCTCGCCTTATAGGAAATATGATGTCAAGTGATTCATCAAAAATGAATTATGATAAGATTCCATCATATGCTGATTTTCTAATAGGACATAATAGTTTTGATAATGGAACCATAAAATATTTGGGTTAGTTTTTCATTATCATAAAAAATTGCTTTTAAATTTTGTTACTTTTTTTAAGTTTTGAATTCATTCACTCTAGATAATATAAAATTTTGAGTATATTTGAAATAGTTATAAAATGGTTACTAAAAGTAGATTTTTTTTTAAAAAAGTAGATGTGATGTTTTTCTACAATGGATTCCGAAAGTTTTAGTTTGTTGAGAATTTTGATCTTGTGAACACATTTTTATAACTTTCTGCACAGGAAATAAAACATGATTTTAATTTTCTGTGCAGATGAGGAGTTGCCAAGGGTCGAAAAAAGTACCTTCTACATACAACATCTTTGTGACATTTTAGATGCAAATAGTCACAAATATGATTTGCTTTCAATAATGGCAACAGTTGCAGAAGAAGTTGGATCCGACTGTCCAATTCCTTCAGCTTTGTCAACTCTCAGAAAGAAGGTTTATTTTAATCGGTAAGGTGTAATCGAAACAATAACGTTTATAAATTTGCTATCTGTGATTGTTTTTCAATAAATTGTCTCATTTTTATCTATTCATCATTTATTTGATAACACGATATCAAAATCATTTGTGTTTTTGCCAAACATATACATTTTATCAGTCGTCAGGTGCGCTGCGACTCGAAGCCTCGAAAAATTATTAATTTTATTGATAAGTGCAAAAATACTATTGTTTTATGAACATAATTATAACGTAATTGTAAATCACAATAATTGTAATTATGGGTGATACAAAGAAAAATGATCGTGGAAGTGGTGAATCGAGTTTGAGAGGATATGTTAATGGAAGGTAACGTTGTTCACGAAAGTGAATTTATATATATATATATATATATATATATATATATATATATATATATTAATTTAGAAATATGAACAAACAACACCCTTTTTGCACTAATTTATTAAATAATAAATTTACAAACGTTTAGAGACTAGGTTTGTCTCATCATCAGTGTGTTATAATTTAAAATATAAAATATGGAAACTTAAATTAGCATTATTTGTTATCCGTTACAAGCATTCATTATACTGTCCCACCAACGATCGTCGAAGTCTGAATTCTCTATCAAGGTCAACTAGATGAGTCACGAAATATCAAGTTTTAAAGAGAAGGAATAGGGTGCAGTCGATATATATATATATATATATATATATATATATATATATATATATATATATATATATATATATATATATATATATATGAGTAAGGAAAAATTTGGTATTAAGTTCGATTTTAGAGTTATTCATTTTAATTTTGATTGGAACTAGTACTAAAAACTATATCAAAATTAATGAACAATCATTGCACAATCTAATAAAAGTGATTGCCTTACTTTAAATATTGTAATCTGCCTAAAAGTCAAAGTGATTTATACAAAAAGGTTAAGAGAATAAATTCATATTTATTTAATTCTTTTACAAGACAAAGAATATTAAAAGAGTCTGATGAAGCTTTTCGACCGGCAGGACTTCAGGAAGACCAAATTTTATTTATTGATGATAGTCCAACAACTAACAGGTAACAATCAAAAATATTCATTTATTTTTCCAATTTTTAATTAGACGTAATGAAATTATTGTAATATTTTATTTGTAGAACTTTTGATCGACCAGATGGAAGACCAATTTCTGAGTCCGAAGTGTTTGTAGATGATGTTCCTCTCAGGTAATCTAAAACTGATTTTGACAGGTCTTAATAAGAATTAAAATAAAAACTTTTTTTTAGCCCCGATACCCCAAATGCACTATCAACATCATTTTCAAATGGTACTTGTTACGATATGGGTCACAAAAATCAAGGAAATGTTATTGTAATCAATCATTTTCAAATCGAAGGTGAAGAAAATCGTGAGGGAACATGTGTTGATGTACAAAGAATTCAAAATACTTTTGGAAATTTGGGATTCAATGTTAAAGTTTATAATGATTCTACATTGTCGGAAATCCGGAGAATTATTGATGATTGTATGGATTTGTTAATTATTGTTGTTTGTGATATTATTTATTGATAACTTATTGATATTTTAGTAAGCCAAGCTGATTATACTGATGACAATTGTCTTGTGATCATTATATTAACACATGGAGAAAATAGTAAGTAAAATAATAGTAAGATTTTCTACGAATTCTATATCTTAAATATATTTTTCCAGATGGATTATTAAAATCCAAGGACGGCGAAGTTTATAGTTTGGAAACAATTTGGAAAAAATTCACAGGTGACAAATGTCCAAATTTAGCTGGAAAACCAAAATTATTTTTTGTTCAAGCATGTCGAGGTGCAAAATTTGATTCTGGTGTCAATATTAGAATTCGACGGGAAAGTCAGACATTTAAAGATTCATCCTACGAGATTTCCTACAAAATTCCATCACATGCTGATTTTTTAATAGGAAACAGTAGTTTTGAAGGTACAATGATAAAAGTTCTTAAGATATTATATCAATATAAAAATTTTCATTTATATAACTTAGAGCTTATTGC